AATATTATACAGATTTGTATCATTTACAAATGATCCATTGTGCAATAAACCTGCAGCATGTCTTAGAATTTTTTGTATGTTTACGAGAATGAGAGATATTTAAACAAATTGGTTTGGTCAAATATTATAACCAGTTATTTTCCAGAATATTCTACGGCTTTTCCGGGATTTAGTATGAACTTATGAGAATCTTTTTGTGGGAAAAATGTTTCTAATATTACAACATAAAAGTTGATAAAAATGATTGACTCTAATTCCTTACCGATCCCCATGTAAAGAAATCAACTCACTACACAGAGAAAACTAAATTGCGCCTTCTATAATATAATAATTTGATGATAATTATGATTTCTGACGAAGCTTGGGCGGGGAATCTTCTTCCGTCTAGCCACTTTAATTAATTTACGTTTACATAATTAAAATATTAAGTTTCACTCATTTATGTTGTCCGAGTTGGAGACGAGGTTCCAACCTTCGGTTAGTGACGTAATAGTCAATTGTTTTGTAATGAAACTACTAAAGTGTTATAATAAAACAATTGACTGTTACTGCTTATCGTACTTCCCTTGAGCAAAATCAACTCACTATAAAAAGAACATAAAATGGCGTTCTCCCTACGCTTTTAGGACAATTGAATCTTCGCTATGGGTGTTCAAGTTAAGGGCGAAACTCCAGCCTTCGCATAACATTTTAATAAATTAGATATATCAACAAAAACGAAAGTTGTTCTTCCAAAACGAATATCTTGAATAGCAAACACTTAATGCCCTTCCCTTGGAGGCTAGATGTTGCATGACGTTACCTGTGTCCTAAGAAGTTACGCACTGAGTATGATAATTCAATCGCTACGTGGAATATGAAAATAGGCGAGATGACAAAAAACATTCTTATTTTTTTCCTGTCAAAATCGAAACTTCAGTTTTTTTTGTATTTTTCCCGAGCTTTTGGGTATCAAACAAAACCCTAGACACAACCCGCAGGTCAAGGGACTGCAAAGATTTCATTCAATTTTGAGGTCTGTTGAAAAGTAGCTGTATGTATTAGTGAATATCTATCTCAAGAGATCATGTTTTGTTCACCTTTTATTCTAAAATGTCCATACCCTCAAAATATTTTAGTACAGTCTTGAACACTTGCGCTGTTGGGACACTTTTCTTTTATTGTGTACACACTACATTCTTCTGTCCTGGAAGATCATTTCACGACATTTACAGCGTCCTAATCATATGAGATTTCATTAGTATTCATCTCGCTGGCTGGAATAAATTTCCAAAGCTGTCTGTTTTTCCTCGTAGTTCGTTTCTCTAGACTTTTTATTACATAAATACTACAAAATGTAAAATAACCCTTTATACTCGCAGATTCCTAATGGTATTGAAATATACTATTCTACAGGGAAGCACTATTTTAATCTACATTGTATTTCCTATATTCACTTCTGCCGATGTGAATAGTTCACTATAAACAAATATTATAGTGCTTATTTATTATGTATTACAATTTGTAGATTTGTTCACTATAACAGCACGTTTGTCCGTGCTCACTAAATTCAGAGTTGAAAATTCTTTGTACTCCCGTTCTGCGGAATTTTTGCAAGGCATAATGTTGAATGAATAATATAACTGATTATTTTTGTATGATTTTTGCAGTATGTTTATAGAATACGCTTAGTAATCGAATAGTCAAAAAACGCTGTCTCGTGGTCCCGTTTGAAAGCATTCCAGAGAATACAAACCTGTTGCATTTAGTTTCGTGCAAAAGAAACCGTGCTGACCGACCGTCTTGGATCGATCATGTACAGGATACCTTGACTTACTAAAGATTTTTTATTTAATTATAATCATAGTACATTAGCTTCATTCGTAATGAACAACCTCCTGATAATTTAATGTAGCTATTCTCATTTTGAGAATGTGTATTTAATTACCTTTCTTATATTTTTAATTACAAATTCTCAAATTTTACAATTGAATTTTAGTTTGTTATAATTGTAATAGAAATAATAATAAATAAATAGAGTTATAAATTCAAACGGTAGTCTAAGAGCCTGACGATTCAAATCATTTTCTGATATTCAATGTGGATATATTTTTAACGCTTTATTGAATTTGGCCGCTATGGCAGTAGATTATGTGGTTATTGGCCGAAGAGAAAATATTTGTTCTGATATAAATGGTAAACTGCACAGATTTGTTAATAAATAAAACTCCGATACAATACACGACATAAACACACAGTAATTTACAAATGACACTTAGTACACAAAGGTCATCAATACGTACGGACCCTTGACCTTGACAAGACCTTGTATCTTCCGGCACGAGAGTGAAGGGTACGCTTATTTGTCTACCCGTCAAACTGTGACAATCATTAGCTTCTAAAGTGTACACAGGACCTTTGAAAAGTAAATATTCATCGATAAGAATACAAATTTTGATAAGCAATAATTTTGATGTTTTAGACGCCAGTTTTGTTCACATACGAACCGCCAAGACGGAGAGATGAATGAACAGACGTGCACACATAATAATACAAAAAAAATACTTTTCAGGCATCAGGTGCTAAAACGTGTGTCCGTCAAAACTCTGAGATGAAGTTTTGTAGTTTATTGTTTGTATTTCATAAAAATTATTTGGCTAAAAGCATTTAAAAATATAAATAAATTTAAACCTATTTATGTTTAGGTACTCACAGTTAATGTTGAGAGTGATTCTTTTGCTAACTGCAGGTGGCACTTCGTTTGACGCGATGCACAGGTAAGCGCCCATCTGCTTCCGGTCCAGCTTGATGAGGGTCAGAGAGTCGTTGCTGAACGAGTCAACTGCAACAGAACGTAATGTCTTAGAGAATATGTACAGCATATCAAAGGAATCTTAAATACTTTCATACTTTCAAATATAGGCTTTGAGATAAAAACTTTCGTTTTGTGTCATTTCAAATCTCGCTAGGAACTGAAAAAATAATAGGCTAATGTTACAATTTATTTTTTCTGCTTCCATTGAATAATTCTTTCATTTGATGGCTGCAACCCGTCGCATAATAATACTCATTACGATATAGATATCATTATGAGACAGGTTCTTGACCAATCACAGAGAAGCTTCCAAACCAAGTATTAATACTTATTAATACTTAACTTATTAGTAAATGTTTCGTTTGATTGTATACATTAAAATTGCATTAATATTATATAATGCTTGTCAGTTTTAATTTATTTTATTAGAAGTATTTTTTTGCATGGAATAATATTTTAAATAAATTGGATGGTAATTTCACTAAGATCCTATTTGACTAGCTCAGTGATAGCTATTGGAGGGAAAATTTGACTGATATTAAAATCTAAACGCAAGTCATTTTGGTTTATATGTTGCTGTCGTGTGGATGTCTTTAAAAACCGGCCAGTTGTTTAGTTTAAAATATCTTGTAAATAACAGATGGAGTTAACACCTCCAGAAATACGAGGAAAAGCGAAAATGGTGACGTCGGAATTATGGCCGCAACGTTTGTACTCCATCGCAGGGGGTCTGGTAAGACAAAGCCACCTGCGGTAGGTAGGGTAAGAAGCTGTCCGCTAGGCGGCGTTGGCAGAATTCTGCATGTCAGCTGCCACGAAACAATTTGATAGAAAAGTTTAACTTATAGAAGTTACCATAAGTCTTAAAAAATGTACCGTATGAAACTCGATGTAATGGGCATTAATACAAGAGTGTGTATTGCGTAACGAACGAGGAACGAGAGAATATCGTAAACTTCACACGAGTAATTAATACCCATCTTTACATAATCCTTTCATAATGTACTATACAAACCCAGAAACCCTTCACAACAAAGATAACGACTATATATTGTACATACATGTGCACTAAAAATATTCATATTATGTTCCTTCGGTTACAAAAAAGGCATCGTCTGTATTACAGAAAATCGTCATTTCGCAATACTACAATACAACGTAATGTAACCGTACACGTGGGATGATTTTATCCGTTTGATAATAATATATTAGAATTGAATACCACTTCGGCACATTACACCAGAATTTTAGAAAATTTATATGTCTCTCGTATTTTTAACAGTTAAATTATATTCGTTTATTTATTTAACAAATTCTTTATTACGTCAAAATGACGTGGCCCCATCAGCAACCAAATGACAAATACGTTTATTATTTCAGCATAGAACATTCGGTTTTTAAACATGACTGCGGTGATCATGATGGGATATGTTTCGAAAAAATCCTTCTAACATCTTCATAGTTATTAGTTTATTTAACGACGTGGTTCATTGTCAATGGTGGCAGCATGACTGATCGGGTTTTGGCCTTGGGGAGCAGTAATGCATCGAAACTATACTGATTATCCAAAAGAACAAATAATGTTTATTTTAACAAAACAGTGATATATATTGAATTAGTTTACATTTGTATTGCTTTTAAAAAAAGACTTAATATAATTGTAACAAATAATGTACTTCAGCTTCCTGGTCAATTACCCCCATCTCGATCAGGTTATTGTTCAGTTTCCCTGATCCACTGAAAAAATGCTGAGATGGCCCCTTTTTTTGCTTCTGGGCGTAAATGTAGCTTCACTATACGCACGTTTTGTTGAACTCTCCTTTTGCTTGTAATGGTAGGAGTAGAGGTAAGGGCGAGTTACTATTTTGTTTACACTGCAGAAAAATCATACTTGCAATTCGTTTACTGATGCAAGTAAGTTTTCTATAACTCGAAAACGAAAATGTCTATTTTACCATATATTGATAATCTTGCGCTTTTTTAAAAAAATATTTTTATTTATTTATTTTCAATGTTTACTCATCTCTTAACTATTTATAGTTAAAATGATGGGAAGGGATTCTGGAACTAAAGATAGTGCAGAAATATGCGCAGTTAATCTTCTCCTCCATACGTCACATGCAGTTTTTACTGTTTTTTGACTAAATAAATCTAAACTGTATATTATGGACTCCGGGAAGGCGGTGTATGGCTCGAAAGTATGCTTGGGACGGAGCTACATCAGCGGACAGGGGCAGCAGTCAGTACACCTGTGTGCTGGATCTGTCTGCTTCGCCGAGTGTCTAGAGATGCTGCTCCACCCATGAACCAGTCGTAAGTCGTCGACACTTTCATTTTAGCTAGACAGATTGTGATTTCCAGCATCTACGCGAGGAAACAGAAGTCCCGCCTTCTGAATTTGGCTACGAGAGGAAAGGTTGTGAACTTCCACCACTCTGTCACGAGTCCACACCAACAAGAGCCCAATCCGCAGGGTCACCAAGACTTACGGCCATTCACAATACAAACATAAGCATGGAGTGAACATAAAAGTTAGGACTACATCCATAAGCGGACTCATTCACAATGCGTTCGCTTAAGCATAACACGTAAGACGTTAACTTAAAAGTTTGCAAACTTCAAGCTTCTCTGCTTATTCTTAAGTAAGATGTAAGAAATGAATAATTCACAGTACGATAACTCAAATTCGAGTATCAAAATTGCATCGAAGTCGATAAACGAACTAACGCCACGGACACAGTCGATACCTCGAAATCGATTCCTACATTCAACTAACAGTAAACTAGAATGTCTCACAGCCACCAGAAACTTATTTTACTTACGCTTATGTTAGACATTGTGAATACTTCTATCACTTTTGTGAATGTTTACGTCTATGCGTTATTCTTGTGTTTACATTGTAAATGGGCCTGTAGGCTTGGGAGACCGGTCACGAGCCGCCGCAGCTACCACGTGGCTCCTTCAGTGTCAACGCGACAGTTGAGCGATTTGCCGTTAGTTTTCATCAGTGTAATTGCGCAACACAAGATCCTGCACCTACCGGCCCGCCTTGGACTCCCAAGGGGCCAGTGGTTTCTAAAAAACTCTAAAGAACTGTAACGATTAATCGTTACTTAAGTATACGTTAGTTTTTAAGTGCGCTAGAGATTGCTTGTAAATTCGCCATCGTTGTATAATATGACCCACGGAAGAGGTGATCGATCAACTGATGCAACTGTGCTCTGCAGAGAATGTAGAAACTTGACTGAAGAGCAATATTTCATTTTCCGTTGCAAAATACCATTCAAAGTTTGTGGAAGAATGTGAAAAGAAAAGAAGATATGACGATATTAAAGGAAATGGACATGAAAAATAAAAGGGATATAACTGTTGTGAAGTAATTGTATCAACAGTTACAATGCCAGTTATATTGCAATTACATGTCTATTCAGGAAGGCAATTTTCATACTAAATGTCTGTTGGCTCTATTATCTCCAATATTCTTTGAAAATATTTGTGAATATGTAATTCAAATTCATTCGCACATTACACCAAGACTTTGATATTGACTCGCTTCCGGCATTATTTTGTGACGTAATACAGCAAATCCGTTTTGGTTGGCGCAACCGCCATCTAACTGAAATGGAGAGGCCTCGATGGGACGGCGGAGCGCGCCCGGCCGTACG